TCTGCTGCTCTTATAACTGGGATCCAGCACAAGACTTATGTCAGGCAGTGTATGTGTGTGTGAGATCTCTCTCTCTCTCTGAGTGCTCACCTGGAAACTGTCTGCCATTAACATTGCTGAGAGCAATTACTGCGTCTGTGAGTGGCAAACACAGTGCTTTAACCACATTAGACTCCACTGTCATTAAACACACACACACACATACACACACACACACACACACACACACACACACACACACACACACACACACACACACACACACACACACTTACACACACAAACACGTCTGAAAACATCCCACAGCACAGACCCAGTGATTACAAGATTTGAATAGCTTTAAAATGTGTGTAAGTCAGTGGTTATCACTGTCACCTCACAGCAAGAAGGTCGCTGGTTCAAGTCTCGGCTGGGTCAGTTGGTGTTTCTGTGTGGAGTTTGCATGTTCTCCCCGTGTTGGCGTGGGTTTCCTCCGGGTGCTCCGGTTTCCCCCACAGTCCAAACACATGCACTATAGGGGAACTGATCAACTACACTGGCTGTAGTGTATGAGTGTGTGTGTGTGTGTGTGTGTGTGTGTGTGTGTGTGTGTGTGTGTGTGTGTGTGTGTGTATGTGTGTTTCCCAGTACTGGGTTGCAGCTGGAAGGGCATCCGCTGTGTAAAACATTTGCTGGATAAGTTGGCGGTTCATTCCGCTGTGGCGACCCCAGATTAATAAAGGGACTAAGCCGAAAAGAAAATGAATGAATGAAACAAATTAAAAATTACAATAAAATTTTTTTTTTTTAAATAAAATAAATATAATTAATAAAATTAATTAAATTAAAAGTAAAAAAAGACAAATACAATTAAAAATAAAATAACAATAATACATATTATTTAAATTTAATTAAATCTAAAGAGTAAAAATAAAATAAAACAAACAAAAAACAAACAAATAAATAAAAAAGAAACAAACAAATAAATAAATAAATAAGCAAGCAAGTAAACAAACAAACAAACAAATAAATAAATAAATAAATAAATAAATAAATAAATAAATAAAACAAGCAAACAAAAAAGCAAACATAAATAAATAAATGTATAAATAAAAAATAAATAAATAAATAAATTAGATAGATCGAAAGATCGATAGATAGAAAGAAAGAAAGAAAGAAAGAAAGAAAGAAAGAAAGAAAGAAAGAAAGAAAGAAAGAAAGAAAGAAAGAAAGAAAGAAAGAAAGAAAGAAAGAAAGCACTATTGCCTCACTGTAAGAAGTTCGCTGGTTCGAGTCCCGGCTGGGTCGGTTGGTGTTTCTGTGTGGAGTTTGCATGTTCTCCCCGTGTTGGCGTGGGTTTCCTCCGGGTGCTCCGGTTTTCCCCACAGTCCAAACACATGCGCTATAGGGGAACTGATCAACTGTAGTGTGTGAGTGTGTGTGTGTGTGTGTGTGTGTGTGTGTGTGTGTGTGTGTGTGTGTAAATGAGCGTGTATGGGTGTTTCCCAGTACTGGGTTACTACCCGAAACCCCCCTGGCTTCAGGCCTGTATATATATATATATATATTACAATTTGTCTTGGAGAGTGGTGTAAAAGCTGATTTCCCTTTATAAAATTCTTAAATTATATTTGATGTATAAGTCAGTTCAATGGCCCCTCGGAGTGTCCATCACTTGAGGAATTCAGCAGTCATTACTCATGTATGGTCATTTGCTGAATGACCGTAATTACAGCTCGTTATTGAATTTCCTCTTTCTGTACGATCTTGTTTTGTAAGTCTGGACAAAGCCTTGTGCACTGCAGGACGTTCATAGCTCGCGCTCACCGCCTGGGCTTCTCCTGTCCCTCTGCTGGCGGCGGCCGGATCTGCAGGGCTGTATTTGGGTCAGCAGCAGATCAGTGTGATTTACAGACTCGCACAGATAAACAGCAGCATGTCAACACTCTCAGTGCGGATGAGAAATCTGGATAAGTGTGTGTGTGTGTGTGTCACTGTTTACAGGCATCACTGTTTACGTTTCCCACTCTTCTATGTTTTCTATCACAGACACACACACACACACACACACACACACACACACACACACGCATAGACTGGGATGAATGCAGAATGTTTGCTCTGTTAAAGCGGTCGCCAAACAGCACAAGCAATACATTGTAAAATAACAGAGGCGTCCATCTTGGCTCCGGATCCTGCAGTTTCCTCTGTCCTCGTGTGGGCTGCAAACTGCAGAAGCGCTTAGATGGATTTGTTTGCCACGCGGAGCTGGCGGTGTATCACATCACGTCTGTGTGTTTGTACAGTGTGATAGTGCAGATGATCAGGGCTCTGTTTGTGTGTGTGTGTGTGAGGAAGAAATGTGGCTTTGGTGGAGCTGTGATGCACACGATGTCCACTAGAGGGAGACAGAGATCCCTCTTGATTATATTTGTGTTCATCGTTACTGTTCTGATTGTAAACGGGCCTTTAATTGAGGTGTGCTTGCGCTCATCTGTTGATCTGCTGTGTGTTTGTGTAGAGAATGTCTGAATACAGCTCTCTGCTGAGCGACCTGTCGGAGAACATCACTAATGAAGACCTGGAGCAGCTGAAGTCGGCCTGTAAGGAGGACATCCCTGAGGAGCAGAGCAACTCCATCGCCTGCTCCAGAGACTGGTTCAGCTACCTGGAGAAGAATGACAAACTGGCGCAAGGTCAGAAAACGTGGAAAACCCTGCGCTTTTATTAACTCAGGCTGTGTGGATGTGCTCAAGGGGACGTTCACGCAAACCACCCAATACACACACTAGAGCACAGGTGTCAAATCCAGTTCATGGAGGGCCGCAGCTCTGCACAGAATAGTTCCAACCCTAATCAAACACACTTGCTTGTAGGTTTCAAACAAGTCTGAAGGACTCAATTAGTTTGATCAGGTGTGTTTAATTAGGGCTTAAGCTAAACTCTGCAGAGCTGCGGCCCTCCAGGAACTGGATTTGACACCTGTGCACTAGAGCATGCACACCAGGGCGACACAGAATATCGGCCCGGGCATCTTGGGCCAGAGCGGCCCACTGCATACAATCACAATGCTTCACATCGGTGCACGCTCTTGAATATGTTTACCAACTCCTGCTAAATTAAAAATAATTTATTAATATAATTAAATTCTAATCCACACTGGGAGTCCATCTTGTGTGTGCCTGTGTGTTTTGAGGGAGACACTAGAGGCCATGATCTTTAGTCTCTTTGCTAGAGCAACCGACTCCCATGCGGAATGTCATGGGTTCGATACCAGCTCGAAGCAGGTTGGGTGGTGTAGGACCGGCGGGGTTACATTGGTGCCGTGACCCGGATGGGAGTGAGGTTTAGGGGGGAGAGTGTAACGGAGGCCAGCTAGTAGGTGCTGTTCAGGTAAACCTCACTCCTCTGACCTCTAAAGGTGCTCTAGCAACATACACTAAAGGTCATGGTCTTTAGCCTCCTTTGTAGAGCGACCGACTACCATGCGGAAGATCGCCGGTTCGATACCAGCTCGGAGCGGCTTGGGTGGCGGAGGTCCGGCGGGGTTACACACGCACAATAGACACACACTAGAAAGCATGCACACTATAAAATGTAATACACTAGGGAGCATGCACACTAAAAAAAGACTGAATCACAAAATGATTCACTGTTTGAAAGAGGAACATGCTGGCGACACCTGCTGGTCAAAACTGTGTAATTACAACAAAAACTCAAGGCAAAACATGCATCTTTTTCAAACACACTATAAACACTAAATTGTTAAAATTTTGTACTAAAAGTATAAGCTATAAATGTTTATCGTAGTTTATCGATAAACTATTGGTTTATCGTCTACTATTAGTAAATATAAAAAAATATTTGGATTTTTCTGTATTCAATATTCTGTTATGTGAATGATGGTTAAAGTTCTCATGTATTGAGTGTTATGTGATGTTGAATCTGACTCTCTCGCACAGATAACCTTTCCTACATCGAGCACATCTTCGAGATCTCGCGGCGACCCGACCTGTTGACCCGGGTCATCGAGTACCGCACGACTGTGCTGAAGATTTCTGAAGACGACGAGATCGACACCAAACTCACACGCATCCCGTCTGCTAAGAAATACAAGGGTACGGCCTCTACTTTTCTTTAACACTCTCTGAGGAGATATTTAGTAAAACAGGTCATTTAGATAACATATATATATATATATATAATAGAGATATGATATTTAGATAACTTAGTGTTGCTATCTGCAGTACTACCATAAACATATATTACAATTTAATAGTTTTATTTAACGTAAATACAAGAATCTGCACAAAAACTAAATACTTTTGTTCTGTTTGAGCCTCTAAATAAAACCGAGCAGGCATATTCTCCCTATAACTTATTATATGATCCATAAAAGACATGTATAGATACTGACTCATATTAAATGGACTGTATGTTGCAGACATCATCCGCCAGCCGTCTGAAGATGAGATCATCAAACTGGCTCCGCCGCCCAAAAAAGCATGAGGTCAACGTACTTGATCTCCGCTCCTCATCCCTGGCACATCATCATCACAAGCCACACCCCCTGCCCCGCCCACTTCACACCAAACAGCCAATCAGACCGCCAAGATGCTTTACAGCCACGCCCACGCCACGGAACGCATGGGAACACTGAACGAAAGACAAAGAAATGGACCAAACGACAGCGACCAGAGGATGCTAACAATTACGAAGTAAACGGGTCGTAGGTGTCGGAAGGGGAAACAATCATTCTGTGTGTGAGAGAGAGATGCAGAGAGTTCATCCAGACCCTTGACAGTCAGCGAAACGGGGATTTCACAGTCGATGTCTTAATGCGCCACAGCGCCACCTAGCAGTGAAACTGCTCGAACCACTGCATCGCTGTGCATTTAGACGCATTTATTCCCTGGTTAGTAATGTGGGTCACACTTTACACTGAGGTTCTGTTAGATTACGTTAGTTAATATATTTACTATCATGATAAAACGACGAACAATACATTTACTACAGTATTCATTACTCATTTTAAATAGATGAAAATACAGATGCTAGTTCTCGTTAGCTGACTGTGCATTAACTAGTGTTATACTACAGTGCTGTTGAATGCTTGATTCTGATTGGCTGATGAGCATTCTAGTTACGTTTACATAAACACAGCGGGCGACGTGGTGGCGCAGTAGGTAGTGCTGTCGCCTCACAGCAAGAAGGTCACTGGTTTCAGCCTCGGCTGGGTCAATTGGCGTTTCAGTGTGGAGTTTGCATGTTCTCCCTGCGTTAGCGTGGTTTTCCTCGGGGTGCTCCGGTTTCCCCCACAGTCCAAACACATGCGGTACAGGTGAATTGGGTAAGCTAAATTGTCCGTAGTGTATGAGTGTGAATGAATGTGTTTGGATGTTTCCCAGTGATGGGTTGCAGCTAGAAGGGCATCTGCTGCGTAAAAATGTGCTGGATGAGTTGGTGGTTCATTCTGCTGTGGCGACCCCGGATTGATAGAGGGACTGAGCCGAAAAGAAAATGAATGAATGAATGAACACACAGCTAAAGTAGTTCCGGCAGGTTTTGTGCATGTTATATCACTACGCTGAGCAGTTTCACAGCTACAACAGTCAGATTTCACATCAAAGATGTGGGAACTGTGGTATAATCTGAATAATGCACTCTGGTCTGTTTGATTATTAGAAAACAATGCACATTTTTCTATTAATTTAACAGCCTGTCCTCAATTATTCCTTCCTCACCAAGCACAACTTGGATTATTTTATCAACTCTGACATTAGCAATGATTAATAAATGCTGCAAGTATTAGTAAGTACATTAACTAGCATTAACTAACGAAACCTTGCGGTGGCCGTAATGTGGCTAGACTTGAGGTCGGTACATTCCCTTTAAAAACAACAGTCATATCGACGTTTAAAAAGTGTTACAGACAACAGATCTCATGAATTTGTGTGATTGCCACTTAGAAAGCCAATATTTGCCTTCTTTAGAGACGAAATGCATTATTGCAGGGTATGCAATTACCTAGTAGAGGATTAATATTGCTTTTTATATTTCTGTATATCATACTTTTAGGAACTATAGTTTATTAAACGATCAGTTATCTAATAATAAGCATCGTTTCTTATCAAACGACTGCAGTCTTATGAAGAAGTAGTGCTGGGGGACGCAATTAGAGATGCACCTCCTATACTGTTAAAGCCAGCCTGATCTCACGAGGAATCGTAAGTATTTTACGTTTTGCCAATTTAGTGGCTATTTCGTACGAGTTCAGTTTTTGTACGATTTTCAAAAGGAGGCGTGGCACCTAACCCCACCCCTAACTCCAACCGTCATTGGGGGATGAGCAATTCGTACTAAATTGTACGAATTAGATCGTACGAATTCATACGAATTAGCCACTAAATCAAAAAGTTATGAATTGCCGTGAGATTGTGTTGGTTAAAGCCTAAAAACACACCAGACCACATGGTAGAACACAAAATATATGACAAAATATATATATAAATGTATATGGAAATTCTATACGTGTGCGTTTAGTAATGATTTAGCTCCATTTCTGCAGTATTTGCATCAGGAAATAGAAGGCATATATTTTTGTTAGAACTTTAAATCGTTCAATTTGACTACTTATACTGTGAATTATTTATTCAGATGCCTCACTATACTATTATGTGAACACATTAAGATGAGATCGCATATATTTTCGGTTGATAATTTATTTACTGATAGAGGGGGAGGGAAGAGTTGCGACTGAAATGGGATATTTACATCAAGGGTGTGTTAAAAAAAGAAATTAATATTAACGAAATGGTAAATAAATGTACACAAACTGCAGCGCTCTGTGGCCAAAAGTCTGTATGGATCCTATCACGTGTGCCAGATCCAAACAGCGCAGGTTTTTAGCTGCGTTTACTTTCATTTGTACTTTCACATACTTTTGTTTTGTTAAATAGTTTACGATGCGTAAAATACACACACTTCGTCACACACACAGCACAATAAAGGGGTCATGAACTACCTCAGGTTCCACTTATATTAAGATTTTACATCATATTTAGAAATAATGGCCAGTTTTCTGTGTTATTTTTGAGCCTCATTAGAATTAATGAGTGGGCGTGGCCAATCGCAGACTCAGAAGTAAACGCCCACTGCTCTGATTGACTAACAGTTTTGCATATTAAGAAAGCTAAACAGGCAGCGTATTAAAAGTGGGCATATATCCTGTAAGGGGTGGGGCTTATCCTCTCGATTACATCACAATTTAAAACGTTCCAGAATCTGTTATATTTGACCCTCATTAATATGAATGAGTGGGCGTGACCAACTGTAGACCTAAAAGTAAACGCCCACTGCTCTGATTGGCTAACAGTTTTGCATATTAACAAAACTTAAGAAGCAATGTCATAAAAGTGGGTGTTGATCTTCTGTGGGGGGCGGGGCTTATCCTCTATATTACATCATATATTAAAACATTCCAGAGTCTGTGTTATTTTTCACACTCAGTAATATGAATGATTGGGCATGGCCAATTGCAGACTCAGAAGTAAACACCCACTGCTCTGATTGGCTAACAGTTTTGCATATTAAGAAAGCTAAACAAGCAGCGTATTAAAAGTGGGCATTGATCTTCTGTGAGGGGTGGGGCTTATCCTCTTGATTACATCATAATTTAAAACATTCCAGAGCCTGTGTTATATTTCACACTCATTAATATGAATGAGTGGGTGTGGCCAATTGCAAACTAAGAAGTAAACGTTCACAGCTCTGATTGGCTAACAGTTTTGCATATTAACAAAACTAAAGAAGCAATGTCATAAAAGTGGGTGTTGATATTCTCTGGGGGGCGGGGCTTATCCTCTGTATTACATCATAGAGTAAAACATTCCAGAATCTGTTAGTTTTGACCCTTATTAATGTGAATGAGTGGGCGTGGCCAATTCTAGACTCAGAAGTAAATGCCCACTGCTCTGATTGGCGAACAGTTATGCATGCTAACAAAACTAAACAAGCAGCGTTTTAAAAGTGGGATCTTCTGGGGGCGGGACTTATCCTCTATTACATCATAGCTTATAACATTCCAGAATCTGTCGGTTTGTCAGGCTACTTTCGACATATGCACTTTTCACAGGAGCGACTATGTTCTGGGTTCTGAAACGTGCAGGATGTTTTTATAGTACTGTGAGCTCTTAAATGTGGAAATATCAAGGGAATTTTAATTTCTCAGTTCATGACCCCTTTAAGATCTTTGTATTGATCGCACCATCCGCTGAACGACTGTTTAAACGCGACTCTAAATTTGCTCGATCACTGTGCATCATCGCAGACTGTTGTTTTCATATTGGCATGAATAAATCCGCAGCTTTAGTGGTTCTGGAGGACACGGCATGCGTGCTTTCATGCATCTGCTCGTCCGCCCACGCATGATTCAGGCTTTTTTCAGATCGTGATTTTGTTGAATCCTCAGCTTAACCTTATATTCGCTCTGTAAACTACAAAGTCTGGCTGGTTCTTGGCCATGAACATTTGTGGCACCTTTTCTGAGGAACTTGTACAATTTATTTCTGCCGCTGACCAACTAAATGAGGAGGACGACTGTGTATTCATAAAAAGCCATTGCTTTTTTATACGCAAAATAGATATGTTTGGTAGACTGTCGTAACAATGACATTTTTCATACAATGAAAGGGATTACAGACTCAATTTTCTAGTTTACATTTTAAATTGGTGAGGTATTTCTATATGTCTCTTAATTTTCTGAGGAGAAAAAAGCATTTTGCAATTCTTAGAAGTCTATGTTGTGACTTTGGTGACGAGTTGTAAAATAAAAAAAGCTTTTTTTATTTATTTCTGGGGCCACAATTAACATTATTTTACATTTTAATTTTTTTTGCTCAAGCAGTCTCTCATTTGCATATTTAAATGAGGTGCTCTGCATGTGGCCAACAGAAAGATGTCCATGGCTCTGTATTTAAAAATCAATGCAAATGTTAAATTACATGGTTTTATTATTTAAAGTTTAGTGTGTAATGTCTTATTTTAAATCTGTTTCTCAAACTAAAACTAAGTCAAATTTGGTCTGTTCAGTTTGACTCTGGTCTCAATTCCTTTTCATTGTATGCAAAAGCTCTCCTATTTACCTTCCAATAAAAGGGCGAATATAAATGTTTACAGAGTATTAATTTTTGTTGACGATATCAGTTTAAAATCCAGATATGTGCGATGAGTCACACACACACGATCCTTTCAAAAACCGATTGTACATTATTCTATTTATTAGATTTTTTTACGTTGTCGTCGTCGTCGTCGTCGTTGTTGTTGTATTGTATCGTGTACGGAAATATCATCTTGTGACTTTATCGGTGTTTGACATTGTGAACGTGATGATGTTCCCTGTCTGGTGTCTCGCTGGACACTGCGCTAGAATCAGTCTCATCGTACGGCGTCTCAAATCATTAGTTTGTTCGAGTTGTTTAGCGATGTTGTAGTTGGTTTGCATCTTTACTCTCATTATCTGTGGACTGAATCGTCTGTGACCACTGATTCTAGATCAGCTCTCGATATGCTTACGCTAGTTTTACCAACTAAGAACTTTTTAACGTCCCCAGACCAGCAACCAAGGGCTTGAGATGTCCACACGTCATTTACAG